ACAAATACAGTCATGGGTGGTAACTCTACAATTCACTGAAAAAGGCCAAGGCACACTGGGAAATTATATTGGAAGCAAAGCTTAGTGGGGGCATGGCTTTCAATTTGTTGTTTTGGGCCACCCGTGAGTTGAAGTGTTGTACCAGTTTAAGTGGTCTATGGGTATGTTAATTACATTTTGATCATGTCCGCTGCTAGACCTGAAGTTTTTGTAAATGCTTACATAAGAGCATGTGGTATTAAAGACTTGTAAATATTATTGTAATGTCCTTAATCCAACACGAGCGACCTTGTCAAGAGATACGGACCTCTTTGCGTAATGGTAAAAAATACTATACGAGGTGTTTTTGCATAACACAATTGGTTTAACTATATACACTTCCTAGTGTTAAAAATACTATGTGGTGTTATTGCATAACACTAAAAGTGTTAATTCCCTAATTATGACAAAGTGTAACAGTGTCAGCACTAAGCACAGTGTTCATTTAACACTCAAAAGTGTGGACTTGTAAATTTAACACTGTCAGTGTTGTTTTAACACTGGAGAATTTACTGTGTACTGGTCTGCGAGGAACAGCAAGGCACTATTTATTTGTTGTTCTCTATCTCGTCTCAGTCTTTTAGATTCAGAGTGGACATTGAGGTTAGAGATAGTGACAGTGACTGAGAGATTGTTGTTTGGTCTGTTGGGAGGGTTCTACAGCTGAGGAATGAGAGATTAGTTAGGAGATGACTGACTGAGGTGGAAATAGCTTTAGGGCTTTTTAAGTTTCAAGGAACACAAGCAGGAGAAATATTGCAGGTGGACAGAAGTCAACATCCGCAACACATTCAAGCAAACCTCCAACCCACACACACACACACACACACACAAACACATACACACGCATACACACATACTCTCCTTTCTGAAACCCTGCCCTTTCCAGTCTTCTGATAGCCATTGACATTTTGACTCCTGAGTCTGCATGCTCAGATGGTGAAGCTGATCGGGTGTGGATGGGAGGGAGGGGAGGGGGGGAGGGGGAGGAGGGGAGAGGGTTCATGGGAGAGACAGGTTCTCCGTGAGGGCTTGGGAATCCATCTGGACCCCCCTCTCACTGGAGAGGTCAGCAAGCAGACAGCATATCCCCGTGGACAAAGCCATAGACCAGAGCATAGAGCAACATACAATAACATTGGCCAGACAGACAGTGTACTCCAGCAAGCCACCTCTTTCATCTACTGCGATTCTGTCCAATTTGTTTAAAGGTAGTGATTCACCCCTTATAGCAGGTATGTATATAGATTAATTGATGCAGATGCAGTACTATGTCCAGGCAGTGTAGTGTATGCTGCCAGTCTTTGTAAAGATGGTGGATGAAATGAACAGGCTACACCTGGTTGTTTTTACCACCTCTGAGAGGAGACAGATAGCTCTGCTCCTTTACTTAGGGAGCCGTCTAGTGGCAGACAGAGGAAGAGCAGTGTGGTCCACGTCCACACACCACACACATTCCTGTTGGTACCATAGTGTAACACAGCCCTGTTGGTACCAAAGTGAAACACAGCCCTGTTGGTACCATAGTGTAACACAGCCCTGTTGGTACCAAAGTGAAACACAGCCCTGTTGGTACCAAAGTGAAACACAGCCCTGTTGGTACCATAGTAAAACACAGCCCTGTTGGTACCATAGTGAAACACAGCCCTGTTGGTACCATAGTGTAACACAGCCCTGTTGGTACCAAAGTGAAACACAGCCCTGTTGGTACCATAGTGAAACACAGCCCTGTTGGTACCATAGTAAAACACAGCCCTGTTGGTACCATAGTGAAACACAGCCCTGTTGGTACCATAGTGAAACACAGCCCTGTTGGTACCATAGTGAAACACACTCACAAATGTACAGTGTTTTCTCAATTCTGAATATTTTCTAAGTGTTGTCCTCACAAGATCAGACTTTTGTGAAAGGGGCTGTAGTGGACATGCATCTCTCTCTCAAAGATGCTCCACTTCACTGTTTGTTAGACATGATAGCATGGTTTCACTGTGGAGTACACACCACAGGAGGTTGGTGGCACCTTAATTGGGGAGGATGGGCTCGTGGTAATGGCTGGAGCAGAATCAGTGGAATGGTATCAAATACCCCAAACACATGGTTTCCAGGTGTTTGATGCCATTTCATTTGCTCCATTCCAGCCATTATTATGAGCTGTCCTCCCCTCAGCAGCCTCCACTGGTACACACACAATTTAACTGTATAAGACCACAGGAAGAACAGTTGAAGGAAGATTATCTTCAAACAACCTTTTGATGTTTGCGTGTGTGGATGTGTGTGTGTAAGCGTGTATCTGTGAATGTACAGGGGTGACGGGTGTTGTTTGCATGTTTCATTGAGTGCTGGCTGATGTTGGTGTGTGGCGTGCTACAGCCACCTCTCCAGTGGAGCAGTGGGTAAGGCGGGAGGGAGCAGAGAGCTAAGTGCCTATAGGGGTGTGAGGGGTGAGGAGCAGGGCCAAACTGGCCACTACACCCATCACTGAGACTGGACACCCCAAACTGTGTGACCAGGGCCAGAAGTGGGCCAGGAGCCTTAAGGGCCAGTTGCCTAAACAGGACTGAGAACTACCTTGTTAGCACCCTTTCAGCAGCCATTAAGGGAGTCTTTCAATTTTGCTGCTTGTTTGCTAGCTGTTACTCAAAATCTAGCTTAGCATTTACAGTTGAAGTCGGAAGTTTACGTACACTTAGGTTCGAGTCATTAAAACTCGTTTTTCAGCCACTCCACACATTTCTTGTTAACAAACTATAGTTTTGGCAAGTCGGTTAGGACATCTACTTTGTGCATGACACAAGTAATTATTCCAACAATTGTTTACAGACAGATTATTTCACTTATAATTCACTGTATCACAACTCCAGTGGGTCAGATGTTTACATACACTAAGTTGACTGTGCCTTTAAACAGCTTGGAAAATTCCAGAAAATTATGTAATGGCTTTAGAAGCTTCTGATAGGCTAATTGACATTATTTGAGTCAATTGGAGGTGTACCTGTGGATGTATTTCAAGGCCTCCCTTCAAACTCAGTGCCTCTTTGCTTGACATCATGGGAAAATCAAAATAAATCAGCCAAGACCTCAGAAAAACAATTGTAGACCTCCACAAGTCTGGTTCATCCTCGGGAGCAAGTTCCAAACACCTGAAGGTACCACGTTCATCTGTACAAACAATAGTATGCAAGTATAAACACCATGGGACCACGCAGCCGTCATACCGCTCAGGAAGGAGACGCGTTCTGTCTCCTAGAGAGGAACGTACTTTGGTGTGAAAAGTGCAAATCAATCCCAGAACAACAGCAAAGGACATTGTGAAGATGCTGGAGGAAACAGGTACAAAAGTATCTATATCCACAGTAAAACAAGTCCTATATCGACATAACCTGAAAGGCCGCTCAGCATGGAAGAAGCCACTGCTCCAAAACCGCCATAAAAAAGCCAGACTACGGTTTGCAACTGCACATGGGGACAAATATCGTACTTTTTGGAGAAATGTCCTCTGGTCTGATGAAGCAAAACTAGAACTGTTTGGCCATAATGACCATCGTTATGTTTGGAGGAAAAAAGGGGGGCTTGCAAGCCGAAGAACACCATCCCAACCGTGAAGCATGGGGGTGGGAGCATCATGCTGTGTGGGTGCTTTGCTGCAGGAGGGACTGGTGCACTTCACAAAATAGATGGCATCATGAGGAAGGAAAATGATGTGGATATATTGAAGCAACATCTCAAGACATCAGTCAGGAAGTTAAAGCTTGGTCGCAAATGGGTGAAATGACCCCAAGCATACTTCCAATGTTGTGGCAAAATGGCTTAAGGACAACAAAGTCAAGGTATTGGAGTGGCCATCACAAAGCCCTGACCTCAATCCCATAGAACATTTGTGGGCAGAACTGAAAAAATGTGTGCGAGCAAGGAGGCCTACAAACCTGACTCAGTTACACCAGCTCAGTCAGGAGGAATGGGCCAAAATTCACCCAACTTATTGTGGGAAGCTTGTAGAAGGCTACCCGAAACATTTGACCCAAGTAAAAAAATGTAAAGGCAATGCTACCAAATACTAATTGAGTATAAACTTCTGACCCACTGGGAATGTGATGAAAGAAATAAAAGCTAAACTAAAGAATTATCTTTACTATTATTCTGACATTTCACATTCTTAAAATAAAGCGGTTTTCCTAACTGACCTAAGACATGGAATTTTTACTCGGATGAAATGTCAGGAATTGTGAAAAACTGAGTTTAAATGTATTTGGCTAAGGTGTATGTAAACTTCCGACTTCAACTGTATTTAGTAATTTAGAAACAGTGACCCATAAATAAGACTAAGCCAGCATATCTTTGCTTTTCCTGTTTGTCTGGTGTTAATAGTTTTTGTTCCTATCACTGTGATTATCCACATTGATATTAGACCTGAGTCATTTTAATGCTCTTCAGCTGGAGAAGATCATTATTACCCCATTTTTTACCCTAGTCAGGTTGTGATAATAATATTAGTTTGCCTGACCAGGAAGATTATTATATTTTTATGACAAGATTTTATTGTTTTAGCCACTAAGTAAATATCATAATCTGCTCTCCAGGAGTGCAAAGAAAAATGAACTCTCATGGAAGTCTGTGTTCATTATTTACATGAAATTATATTCGAAATCAATGAGGGTGGGTGCTGCCAGGCTCAGTAAGATCCAGGTTTTTATGGCACAGACATGGGCTATTAAAGAGACGGTCATATTTCAGATGGAACAGGTTGAAGACTGTAGAAAGAGGAAAGTACAGTAGTAGACTGCAGTCACTTCACTTCTCACCCAAATAGTAATTTTTTTATTACAGCACTGTCCATTAATGTTAACTTTGCCTCTTTCCTTTGCAGTTCCACTGCTAACCATCAGATGTTGTGTTAGCGTCAATGTTGTGTTCACTAGTTTGTTACTAACTGTTATTCTTCTTCTTCTCTATTGTCTCTACAGTGCTCAGTATCCGTGGTGGCCAGGAGGAGGAGCCTCCAGATGCCCAACTCATGCGATTGGACAACATGCTTCTGGCGGAAGGCGTGTCTGGACCGGAGAAAGGGGGCGGGTCTGCGGTGGCGGCGGCTGCAGCAGCAGCTGCAGCGGGAGGAGGAGTGGGCTCGGACACCAACGCGGCAGAACACTCAGACTACCGGGCCAAGCTGACTCAGATCCGCGGGATCTACCACACAGAGTTGGAGAAGTATGAACAGGTGAGGACAGACCACGCCCCTCGTAACCACTCTCTCCCTTCCCATAAACCCCTTTGGCTTTAAGAAGACCCTCACAACCCCTCTCACTTCCTATAGGCAACCCCTCTCTCCGTTAGGTCCTGTCTGCTCTGAGTTCTGCCATCACACTACATACTGAGGACCACTGCCGTCTCACTACACTCACACTGCACACAAGTTTTTTTATATGCAGATAATCCTTCTCAAATCAAACCCCCAAAGCACCTCCTGAGCAACCACGCTTTCAGAAATCACTTTCCAGCTGGCAAACATTTTATCAGTCACACTCATCCTTCGCCAAAGAGATCATCCTGTCATTCTCATGGATGTCATATATATTACCGCCTGTCATCATCTCAAAGCAGACTCATCATCACTACCTGTCACAGTGTTACTTATGCACCTGAGTATACCCATGTCAGCACTATGTGTACTACTGATACAGTGTGTACGGGCGGAACGGCTGTTGCACTGAACTGTGTCTCGTTTCAACTGACGCGACCCCGGTTCTGACAGTCAACAGACTCCCCTGTCCCCAAACACAGCAGACACTTCCCAGTGACTGATTCTGACAGAGAGAGAGAGAGAGAGAGAGAGAACAAAAGAGACACTGAGTGAAAAGACAGAGAGAGAAGTGGAGAGAGAGAGACATAAAATATAGTTCAAAGCTGGTGAACGTGAACAGGAAAGAAAGCCTCCTGTCATTTTAGACGTCTTAACTTTTTTCTTAACTGTTGAAGAAAAGTCTCCTCAATATACAAAGAAAGTCTCACAGCTTAGTTGTATAGCTAATCCACTGCTATTGTGTCTGCCACAGCACTGCAATACTTGTATTACTACTACTAGATTTTGTCATTGTCGGATGAGAATATAGTTTCTCCAAAACAGAAACTTTTCAGGAAATGGAAAAAACGGATTCTTTCCCCCGTTAACGAACATACAATTATGAAGCTATTTTGAATACATTTTCTAGAGTCACGAAATGTTCAGAGTACATTGAGGGGAGTTACTTCTTTCAATATTATAATAATGAAAATTGGCAAAAATGGAGTTGCAAGGTTTTCCAACAGCGACATAGTACTACTTATGATATTAACATTACTTACAACACTTGCAGTGTCTTACTTCTCTGCTGTATTCAAGTGCGTGTGATTGCTATCTGCCTCATATGAGTGTCTGTCTGTCTCTTTAGGCATGTAACGAGTTTACCACCCATGTGATGAACCTGCTGAGGGAGCAGAGCCGCACACGGCCCATCTCGCCCAAAGAGATAGAGCGCATGGTGGGGATCATCCACCGCAAGTTCAGCTCCATCCAGATGCAGCTCAAACAAAGCACCTGCGAGGCAGTCATGATCCTACGCTCCCGCTTCCTCGATGCCAGGTCTGTGTGTGTGTGTTGTGTGTGTGTCTTTCTCTAACTTAAATGTATTGTTATGAAAACAGGCAAAACCTTTGTTATGATGTAACATTATTTGGACAGCAATTGTCTGCCTTGTGATATTAAATATGTTCTCTCGCTCTCCCCCCCGCTCTCTCATCTCTTCTCTCTTCCCTCTCTCTCTCGCTCTCTCTGCAGACGAAAGAGGAGGAACTTCAACAAGCAGGCAACAGAGATCCTAAATGAGTATTTCTACTCCCACCTGTCCAACCCCTACCCCAGTGAGGAGGCCAAGGAAGAGCTGGCCAAGAAGTGCTCCATCACAATGTCACAGGTATGTTCCGCCAGTCACAAGCCTCGTATCCATCCTGTATGTGATGAAGCCAACTCTAATCTTCTATTGTTGTGCGTGTACATGTATGGCAAAAACAGTATGGCTCCTATCATGCCACAGGAAGTCAGCTAGCATAGGGTCATACAGCACCAATGTTTAATTCTGCATTCTGTTATGGAATCACATAGGCAGTCTTGTGACAGCATGTGATAGCTTTCTCAAACAATTGTTTCAACAAAACAAAAAGCGATTTACTACAGACATTTCTTCTCAAGTAATTTGTACTTTAAATGTTTCACAGGTATCGAACTGGTTTGGAAACAAGAGAATCCGATACAAGAAAAACATTGGCAAATTCCAAGAGGAAGCAAACATGTACGCTGCGAAGACAGCCGTCAGTGCAACCAGTGTATCAGCCCACGGCAGCCAGGCCAACTCCCCCTCCACCCCCAACTCTGCAGGTCAGTATCAATACCAGCCAGCCATAGTAGATGTTACCAGTATGGTACCAAGTCAGTACTGTTAATGTTAGTTTGGCTGCGTACCTACCCCAAATTCAACATGAACACAGATCATCATTATAAAGAGCTAAAGCATTATATATGCTACATTGAGAGGGATCCACATTGCAGTAGTATGGACAATAAAATTCAGAAATACGACAGAGTTGAGCAGAGAGGTGTAGAGCACTGATTAGAAAACTTGGCTTTACGCAAATGTCATCTCAACCCTGGGCCCCAACTCAAGAATCCAGTCTCTGTCTCTGTTCCTTTTGACTAACAAAATACTGTCTGCATCCAACCTTTCTGAACTAACCCGATAACTTCTGGCCCAGTGGTCCGGTCCCTCTCTCTCTTTCTCTCTGGGGTTTGTCTGGTTAACACACCATTTCGGAATCAGTCTTGGTTAAAGAAATAGTTCATCCATCCTATGACTTGTCTGGTTGACCTCTTGTGTGTCATTAAGGTGATGACAGGGCGCTCCAGCCTAGTCCTTTGTCATCATGGTGACCCTTCAGCTGTATTGGATTATGGCCTTGTCTTGTGTTTTTTTCTGCCTTGAAATCAAGTTAGGCTGCGTTCTCTTTTAACATCTGGGGAGTTTGGCTCCATTAAAAGGACAAAGAGGATTCTTTCAGTCTTCCTGTCGATCAATTAGCACTTCCTTAATGATCCAACCTGTCCAGTAGCAAGGAACTTAAACAACAAGACAATCCATCTATTCTGTTTCAGGTTCACCCCGGTTTTAACCCCTAACCTTGTTCTTAGTAATATGATTGGCATCACAATAGTGTAGTGTATTGTTGATCATTAGTACAGTATAGTTCAATATTTGCTTAGAACACCCCTTAGCCAGAGGGGTTACATTTCCATAAGTACATATAGTAGACGGTGGCTGGTCACTGATGTGGTTCCCTGTTCACTACACCATATTTTGCTTTCAACCCTCTCCTACTAACCCAACTGACTGCACTTTTTCTGTTGCATGATCGTTGTTAACCCGTCTTTCCTTTCTTCTCTTCTCTCTCTTCCTCCCTCTCTCTCTCTTTCACTCTCTGGCCTCCCAGGTTCTGCTGGCTCTTTTAACATGGCAAACTCCGGAGACTTGTTTATGAGTGTGCAGGCTCTGAATGGGGACTCATACCAGGGGGCCAGGGTTGGGACCAATGTTCAGTCCCAGGTAGGAGCCTCGCAGAGACTAGTACGTTATCCATACATTAGTAGTACACTAGTTGTCATGTAGATAGATACCCAGCTAGCAGTCATACAGTAGTAGCCTATTAGTGGCCTGTTGAAAGCAGTCATTGACCCGCGACGGACAACCTTATAAGGTCTCAAATTAAAAGAATGAATCTCCCTGGTCAGTTGTTCAGGCACTGCCCGGCCTACAAGGTTTAATTGAAATCTGAATCTGAATCTCTTGACCTAGTCCGTGAGACAGAGGTCATATGTGGCCTTTAGCCATACACTGATGTGGCGGCCATTATCAGGCTCATGAATGAATAGACGACTGCAGACAGATTTGGAAACAATACAAGACTCGTCAACACTGCAGACAACAGTTGTCGTAGGCACTGGTGTACAACAGTCATCTGACCTTGCCCCGTTGGACAACGATGACCAGCACAGAGTTTTCTGAGTATTGGGATTGGGAGGGAGTCTCATTCACCATAGTTTGGGTTGAAGAGTCACCACCTGCTTCATCCCTCCACCATCCCACCTTCATTTTTAAATCAACTCTCTGTTTCATGAATATGCATAGTATTAACCCCTGAGCTGGACAAGAGGTCTCCTGGGTTGATACTGGGTTGAAAAACAATGTCCTTGTCAGAAGGTCATTTGGCTGCACACTTCAAACGCGTTCCCAGCCACTGAGGAGAGGAGTTTTGAGTCGTATAATTAATTTGATTTGTTTCATTTTTGTTCCTCTTTGAATTGTAATAAGATTTTTATATGAGTTCCCTTGTGATGTTATTTGTGGTGGTTTGTCGTTGTTCTTATGTGATATCTATTGTGTTGAACCAGTATTACAGGCCAAATCATTCTAAACCGTCGCTGTGGTAACCTTTCCCAGTGCATGATACCCTTTTGCTATCAGACTGACCTTTCTTATGCATGAAGGTCTTTTTCATGTAGAGCTTTTGTCTGTCTGACCCGCCCTTTTCTCTGTGTGTTTCTGTGTGTACATGTGTGTGTGTGTGTGTGTGTATGTGTGTGTGTGTGTGTGTGTCCGTTCCAGGTGGATACTCTTCGCCATGTTATCAGCCAGACAGGAGGATACAGTGACAGCATCGCCGCCAGCCAGATGTACAGTCCACAGGGCATCAATGTAAGAACACCACCAAACAACAACTTTCTTTCATTTCATCACAATATTGCCTTTCTATTCTTACTTTGGTCTCTTTGAAATAAAAATAAGCTAACTATTTCTATCCTATACATCTATAGCTATTCTTCTTTTGTTCCGATGCAGTGTGTTCATACATTTGAACAACAATTCGATAGAAAGCTGCCTTTATTAGGGTTTCAGTTTGTCCCTTTGCCCAATTATTTTGAAGCCAATGTGTGTGGGATGCCACTTAGTTAGCAGTGGCCTATTGGTGGCTGGGCTGTTGTCCAGGCAACGGCCCTTGTGTACTGGTAATGCCCCGGGCGCCAGGTGAGGAGGCAGGAGTCAGACGGCGTGAGAGGCGGCCGGCCAGGCGTACGGACACACTCAGAGCCTGCCTGTCTGGGGACATTAGTGTTAGCGAGGCACCTGCAGCCGAAAGGAACAAGGCCACAGGTGACACCCTGCCTGTCCAACACTCAACTCACATGGCACCAAATGAAAAGAAACACAGACCTCGTTACTTCCCCGTTCCAAGGGCCCCCAAAAAAATAATCGCCCCAGAGTACAAGCTTCAGTCCAATCTATCTACCACCCTAAAAAAAGAATGCCACGTTCTGATGGGGTTTTGGCAGGGCAAGGCTGGGAACACTGGAGGGGGTGTGTATAGTGTTAAGATCTACAGTGACAGGCTGTGTTGTAGAGAGGGGAATCAATAAGGCAGTCAGAGCAGGCTGAGAGCGGTTCTGGGCCAGCAGTCCGAGTGCATTGGTCGCATCATTCGTCCAACAACCACAATGACACTGACAGCAGCGAGCCCTGTAATGTCCAATCCAAGATGCTAAAAAAGGAAGTTGGGGTGGACTGAAGACGTTCTCCTGAGCTTCCTCAGTAAACTATCGAATCCAAATTAACTTTTTATGCAATTATGTTTTCAAGTATTCAAACATCAAAATATGATGTCCTTGTAAGACACTTCTTCTTTTATATTGTAGAAATCATGTTATTAATTATATATTTAGACTTTTCTGTAGAAGCTTTTAATCTTGGATGGATCTTTCATTGTGCAGCTAAACAATTTCCACTCATTCTGAGGTTTCTAATGACTGAGCTGAGGCAGGGAGCAGCATTCACATGGCAGAGCTCTCTTCTATCCTTGAACAGTAATTATGGCTGTGAAATAGGCGGAGGGTGTCACCAAAGTTGAAGATTTTCAAAGTGTTTTTCTCTCCCCTCGGTTCTAAATGTGATGAAAGACTTGCTCTATGTGAAATAACAGGGTTTGAAAATAAGAGGGTGCCAAAGCCCATCTCCAACAGCTTTCACTGATGGCATGGAAATTGCCATTAATGTCCCAAACGCTCTTTAAATCGACCTATCTTCCGGGATTGGAAATTGCCTCCTTTTTTACGCACCCATTATATTTTCATCCCAATAGCCGATGTGATAATTTGCTATAATTTATTCTCCCATCAACCATCTTGTAGGTTTTGTGTGTGAGAGGTCTGTCTGTGCGTTCTCAATAACATGTCTCTATTGTCTTGACATGAGGCCATTTTGAAACAGATGGGAGATGAAGTCTTGATAGAGGAATTGTACTATTGTGTATTTTGAAGATGCATAATCTCGCAGAGAGCAAAAGGGTGTATTTCAGTTCAAGAGTTTCATGTTAGCTACCGATGCAGCTAAAAAAAATATACAGTATGTGTCATTATTTCTGTATCTTTTAGGAAATTTGACCTGAGGCATACAACAAATTGTCTCACAATTTAATCTCTAGATTTATTTAAATTATTTTTTTTAAAGACTTTTGTCTTTGACTCCACAGACAAACGGTGGCTGGCAGGATGCTCTGACCCCCTCGTCAGTGAACTCGCTCACAGAAGGACCTGGAAGTGTTCACTCGGACACCTCCAACTGATTATTTTACCCTCCACACCTTCCATCCCCACATCCCATCGATGAAACTTCAGAGCCTATCACAGTGTTAAACATAGAGGCATACTACACAGTGTCCTGTAGATTTCAGGGGTGCTGTGAAAACCATAACTAAAACAACCTTTCCTAAGCTACAGTACTATGGGACATTTGAGATACATACAGTAATAGGAATGTCAGAACAAAAATCAAAACAATACAAAAAGGATGAATACAAATGTTTGCTCAGATTTCACAGGATATTTAGAGGGCTGGGGCTGATGGTTTCACTCATATTGATGATATTTAGTGATAAGATCAATTCAGACAACCCAACCTGTATACTTCAATTTAAATGCTTCATTCTACCTCTCAGCAACTAAAAAGTAAAAATAATATGAAAGAACATTATTTGTTTTCTGACTTAAACATGAACTTTGTCATTGTATGAAAGAAAAACTTTGTCATGCTGTTTTGTGGTCCCTCGCCCATTCAATGGTACGCCATTTAGGCTTTTAATGTTGCTCCCTTGTTTACAGTGTGGGCTTGATAAGCTGTGTTTGCTTTACCCTCTCCCACAGAGAAATAACCAGGATGACTTAGAACTTGATTTACTAAATGTTTTTGTATTAGTTTCTCCATAGAGGACTTGTAGGGAAAGCAGGTCAGCCTAGTGAACTCCGAGGACCCTTCACCCTGACTAGCAGGTCTTCAATCTGGGTGGAAGGCGTTAGAAAAGGAAAACATGCTGGTATGAGATTGCGCATTGGCTGATCTAAAGGCTTTAATGGAAATTGAGTAGACAATTGAATATACATTGTAGATGTGTGTCTTCCTGGTTTATAAACTTATGCCCCACGACCCCTTTGATATCTTATCAGAAAGCGGGAGTGCTGTGGGCCCACAAGCACTCACAGGGCTCTGTTCCAATATCCATACTAGCGTACCACTTAGAATGCATGCCCAATACATGCTTCATTCTAAGTATGCTAGTGTGGATATTGGAACAGAGCTACAGAGTGTGTGCTATTGATTGTCTGAGGGCCTGTGAACATGAGGAGCGCCCTCCTTTTAAACAACCACCTCATTGAGTATCCATGTGTCTCATCAGAGGTAATCGTGTGAAGTTACAGTTATGTCATGTGTAAAAAAAAAAAAGCATAAATAAAATAAACACCTGTCATCAAAAAACCCATACGAGCTTGATTCACATCATTCATTTCAGTGAGAATAACTTAACAAAAAGAACACGGCTCATTTTAGAAGTCATTTGGAATAATTTCCTGTGTCTGATTGTTTTGAAGCTGCAGCCTATGGGGTCAATAAAAGCAGACGTATTGAGCAGAGTGGCAGAAACATCAAGTCATTATCTCCTTGTCTAATGTCATTTCCTAGCTCGCTCTCTAACTTCACATTCATTTGGGTTTTTAGTCACCTAATGTTACTGTTAACCAAAACCCTTAAACTTGTTGATCTATTGTTGTCATTTTGTGTACTTTCAAGAGGTCCTAATCCATCTAGCTATATTCACTCATGTACTTATATGTTGGATTTTTTACTGTACCTTTTGCTAATTTTCCCAGCATTGTTCAGTTGATAACCAACTGAATAATGCTGCCTAATTGAAAAGCAATGTTGTTGAACAGTCCAATTCAGAAGAAACCATTTCTGTAACAAATCTGTCAAGGATCTGTGTAGTAACTGAGTTTGTTTTTAAGTACATTGAATCAGAATCCAGTTAAACAGGGAAGTCGTTACGTTAATAGGATTTAAAACATAAATCTGCGGATGCAGGTAACACCGGGACTGAACTTACAGTAGCCATGATGTACAGGTCATGCATGAGATGCTTTGTACTCCATGATTAAGCTCAACAGACACAATGTTTTCCTGCGATTCAGTGTTCAGTGACTGTTCAATGCCCTCTCATACAATGGAATTTAAATGTTATTTAAAGCCAGAGTTGATTTCTGTTTCTCTTTCCAGGCATTTTTTTGGCAATTGAATATGTATTACAAAATGTACAACATGTTACAGTATATGACAGCATTCTTTCTTCCACTGTATCAGGAACCAAAACCTACATTATAATGTCACCTGTATCCTTGCTTTTCAATTCTTCAACTGACTTGTATGAATCCTCAGAATTCAAAAGCATTTTGAATGTTGATGTGCTGAGAGGTCTAATGTCCATAGCAAAACTAGAGGTGTGCAAATTATTTCAGACAAACAAAGACAATATTTGGACATTTGATATACTGTGTAGTACTTGTCCTTTTGTTGTGTGGACTATATAGTTATTCTTTAGTATTTGGTTATTTACTTTTTATAGTATGCTATTGTATGTCATGGTTCCCATATTCTTGTCAATTGGCTCTGTCATGATGTAATTATGTGAACATTGCCACATTGTACTTGACTTGCTTTGTTGAACAATAATTTATACAGTTTCAACATTAAACTTATTATACTATGTAATACACCAAGACAAATCAGTGGCATTTTATTATTGAACATTTGAGCGAGAAAACCAGAATAATACACTGATGGTTGCCAGTTGGCAACATTTTATATTTTTTTATATGTGATATAGAATTGAATGCACATATTGTAAATTCAGCTTCACAAACAATGTACTCTTGCAAGTTAAAAAAAGCTCACTTTCCATTTCCCCTCTAATTCATTGATTTGTTGTGCCAAAGTAGAAGTATTCATAATTTATTCAGTTTGAATAACTCTCAATAAAACTCTCAACTACTTGATAGTCTGTACAGGGGCCTTGAGCTCTACAATCCTTTCGCTCCACATTCAGATTTTAAAATATGCTTGTTTTCCAATAAATGCAATATGATAACGACGCATATAATATAGCTTTTTAGTTTTGATAGCTGAAAAAAGAAGTTCAGGATTCAGTCATTTGTAAAAAACTGTTTCCTTTGTTGCATGTAATGTGTTCTTTAATAAAATACTGCAGTGTTTTTTAACCATTTGTCACACATTTACATATTATTTCCGATAGTATTCTGGTTCACTTGGTCTTGTCAAAGTTATGACACAACATGACAGGAGACAGGTTTACTGATAACGAAAACATATTTGTATTCTATTTTTAACACTCTATCTGATATGTATAGTCAAACATGTACAGGTAACTGCCTGATTAAAGGAAACACCAACATAACGTGTCTTAATAGGGCGTTGGGCCACCATGAGCCACCAGAACAGCTTCAATGCACCTTGGCATAGATTTTACAAGTGTCTGGAATTCTATTGGAGGGATGCGACACCATTCTGCCACGAGAAATTCCATCATTTGGTGTTTTGTTGATGGTGGAAAACGCTGTCTCAGGCACCGCTCCAGAATCTCCCATAAGTGTTCACACACCCTTTAAAACCCCCTAAGGTCGATGTCCGCACCCTAAGGTCGATGTCCGAAATCTAATTAGCATAATACAAGAATCCCCATAAAAATCTGTCAGTTTAAGCATTGGATGCGTCTATGTCACACTTCTGCATCTGCGGTGAAAGGTGACAGAGCTAGAGGTGAAAGGTGACAGAGCTAGAGGTGAAAGGTGACAGAGCTAGAGGTGAAAGGTGACAGAGCTAGAGGTGAAAGGTGACAGAGCTAGAGGTGAAAGGTGACAGAGCTAGAGGTGAAAGGTGACAGAGCTAGAGGTGAAAGGTGACAGAGCTAGAGGTGAAAGGTGACAGAGCTAGAGGTGAAAGGTGACAGAGCTAGAGAGGTGTTTGTCAGACCATGAGACATCCCGAAAGTCGGTCTTCTCACAAAATCGTCTGTAGCGTCCGAACGGTTTAGCGTCCTTCTCTCTATGGAAGGACGAGACTCTCACGAACACGGTGGTGTTCTCCGTCTTGCTCTAAGACCTCCACAAGACTCATATGAGGGTCCCCCAGTACCAGTTGAAAATATTTATGGAAGTACAGTGCATTCGGAAAGTATTCAGACCCCTTTACTTTTTCCATATTTTGGTACGTTACAGCCTTATTCTAAAATTGATTAAATAAAACATTTTCCTCATCAATCTACACACACAATAACCCATAATGACAAAGCGAAAACAGGTTTTTAGAAATGTTTGCAAATTTAATACAAATAAAAAACAGAAATACCTTATTTTCGTAAGTATTTAGACACTTTGCTATGAGACTCGAAATTGAGCTCAGGAGCATCCTGTTTCCATTGATCATCCTTGAGATGATTCTACAACTTGATTGGAGTCCACCTGTGGTAAATTCAATGGATTGGACATGATTTGGAAAGGCACACACCTGTCTATATAAGGTCCCACAGTTGACATTGCATGTCAGAGCAGAAACCAAGCCATGAGGTCGAAGGAATTGTCCGTAGACCTCTGAGACATCTGGGGAAAGGTACCAAAAAATGTCTGCTGCCTTGAAGGTTCCCAAGAACACAGTGGCCTCCATCATTCTTAAATGGAAGAAGTTTGGAACCACCAAGACTCTTCCTATAGCTGGCTGCCCGGCCAAACTGAGAAATCGTGGGAGAAGGGCCTTGGTCAGGGAGGTGACCAAGAACCCGATGGTCACTCTGACAGAGCTCCAGCGTCCCTCTGTGGAGATGGGAGAACCTTCCAGAAGGACAACCATCTCTGCAGCACTCTACCAAACAGGCCTTTATGGTAGAGTAGCCAGACAGAAGCCACTCCTCTGTAAAAGGCACATGACAGCCCGCTTGGAGTTTGCCAAAAGGCACCTAAAGACTCTCTGACCATGAAAAACAAGATTCTCTGATCTGATGAAACCAAGATTGAACACTTTGGCTTGAATGTCAAGCGTCACGTCTGGAGGAAACCTGGCACCATCCCTACGGTGAAGCATGGTGGTGGCAGCATCATGCTAATGGGATGTTTTTCAGCGGCAGGGACTGGGAGACTAGTCAGGATCGAGCGAAAGATGAATGGAGCAAAGTTCCGAGAGATCCTTGATGAAAACCTGCTCCAGAGCGCTCCGGACCTCAGACTGGGGCGAAGGTTCACCTTCCAACAGGACAACAACCCTAAGCACACAGCCAAGACAACGCAGGAGTGGCTTCGGGACAAGTCTCTGAATGTCCTTGAGTGGCCCAGCTAGAGCCCGGACTTGAACCCGATCAAACATCTCTGGAGAGACCTGAAAATAGCTGTGCAGCGACACTCCCCATCCAACCTGACAGAGCTTGAGAGGATCTGCAGAGAAGAATGGGAGAAACTCCCCAAATACAGGTGTGCGTAGCATCATACCCAAGAAGACTCAAGGCTGGGATTCAAGCTGCCAAAGGTGCTTCAACAAAGTACTGAGTAAAGGGTCTGAATACGTGATATTTCTGGTTTTAAATGATAAAAACCAGTTTCTGATTTGTCATTAAGAGGTATTGTGTGTAGATTGATGACGGGAAAA